GACCGGGCACTCGGGGGTGCCCCCTCCCCGCGAAGCCGGGCAAGCTGCTCTTCGCCTTTCCAGGGGGCGATGCCCGGGCCAGACCTCAGCTGCCCCCGCCTGTGGTCGCGGCCCACGACTCGGGTTGCACTTGACTTCTTCCAGGTATCAAGATTCTCGTTAACTTCGTTTCCCGAAGCTGTGATGCAAGCGGTAAAGGATACTGCGTTGTAAAAATCCCTCCTTTATACGTATACTGTCATTCTGCAGCTCATACAAGCACTTTGCTATTTTAAGAACAGCATATGTCATTCACTAATAACACTTCACCTGTTGCTTTAGATGTTCAAGCACAGACTTTTCCCGAATTATTCCTGACAACCCTTCTGTGACATGGGATATCTTTAATATTACAAATTTATATCCCAATTAATTCATAGTAAAGATAAGAAAATGAATTATCCAGAATTTCACTCCTGTAAAGAACAGCAGAATGAAGAATATGAAAGTGTCCAGGTTTCGGCTGGAAGAGAGTTAATTTTCTTCCTTGTAGCTGGTATAGCGCTGTGTTTTGGATTTAGTATGAGAATAATGTTGATAACACACTGATGTTTTGGTTGATGCTGAGCAGTGCTTACACCAGTCAAGGACTTTTCAGCTTCTCACGCTCCACCAACTGAGAAGGCTGGCGATGCACAAGAAGCCGGGAGGGGGCACAGCCAGGACAGCTGACCCAGGCTGGCCAAAGGGCTGTCCCATACCATCTGACAGCATGCCCAGTATGTAAACTGGGGGAAAGCAGGCTGGGGGGCCGCTGCTCAGGAACTGGCTGGGCATCGGTCGGTGGGTGGTGAGCAATTGCACTGTGCATCACTTGTTTTCTATATTCTTTTCTCATTATTATTATTTTCCCTTCCTTTTCTGGCCTATTAAACTGTCTTTATCTCCACCCATGAATCTTACTCCCCCCCTCCCCGATTCTCTCCCCCGTCCCGCTGCAGGGGGGAAGTGAGCGAATGGTTGTGTGATGTTTATAGCTGCCTGCCAGGTTAAACCATGACAGAACATCACTAAATTCAGAATATTTTTTTAGAAAAGTTATTTAAAAAGCTGACATTTTAATTTCAAAGACAAAGCAGTTGTGCTTTCTTACATTGTTACTACTTCAAATCGATCTCAAGAAATTTGAATGTCAAGTTTCCTGCAAGAGAGGGCTCTTGATCCTAATTTTATCAAAGTGACAGTTCTCTGCAGATTTCTACAACTGATCAGATAAAACATTTTGCCTCCATTCTAACTATGCCATTGACCTGCAATTCATGCTAATCCCACAGTGCACTGAAGGGTGAATTACTAGGTCAAATCAAATACGTGCAGTTCCACTGCAGTCAGTTAAACACAGTAGAGAAGCCCAGACAGGAAAACAACTCCGTCATACTAAAGTTCTCATCTCTCCGAAATAAAAAATTACTGCAAAAAGCATTGGTGTCCTCAGACATCACATTGGAGAGACTTTCCTTCTGAAACTGTCAAGTAGGTTTAGGTTTAGGTAGAGCAGGGTGAAAGTAGAGGGGACAAACATCTTTCCATCTCATCCTGTAACGACAGACGAGGCACAAGAAAATCATCATACATCCCAAAGGTGTAAGGCTCACCAGCACAGAATCACAGAATGCTTTGGGATGGAAGGGACCTCTAAAGGCCATCCAGTCCAACCCCCCTGCAATGGGCAGGGACATCTACAACCAGGTCAGGTTGCTCAGAGCCCCATCCAGCCTGGCCTTGAATGTTTCCAGGGATGGGGCATCTACCACCTCTCTGGGCAACCTGTTCCAGTGCTACACCACCCTCGTTGAAAAAATTTCTTCCTTATAGCTAGTCTGAATCTACCCTCTTTTAGTTTAAAACCATTACCCCTTGTCCTATCGCTACAGGCCCTGCTAAAAAGTCTGTCCCCATCTTTCTTACAAGCCCCCTTTAAGTACTGGAAGGCTGCAATAAGGTATGCCCAGAGCCTCCTCTTCTCCAGGCTGAACAACCCCAGCTCTCGCAGCCTTCCCTCACAGGAGAGGTGTTCCAGCCCCCTGATCATTTTTGTGGCCTCCTTTGGACCTGCTCCAACAACGCTGATCTCTCTCTCAAAATTCTCAACAGGCGTCCTGTACCATCACTGCACAATCTTAAAAGTCTGCTCTTGTGTGTGCTGGAACACAGGATCGTGGGGATCTCTTTGGTAGCTCATACGTATTGCAAATATATACAAAATGCCTTTTCCACCCTGTACGGCAGACGGGGCGGGGAGGAGGTTTCACTGTTTTGTGCAAATACTTCCTACCCTATGGTCTAGGAATAAGTTACACTCTCTCAGATCTGTTCTGCTCAACTTCTGCCATATCACAGTAAGTTTTTCAGCTTTCTATATTTTACAAAACAAGATCAGAAATCTAATGCCTCAATTGTATTTTCAGAAACCAGTACACTATCTAAAACTTCATCTGGCTATTTAAAAAAAAAAACAAAAAAACAAAACAAAACAAAAAAAACAACCAAACAAAAAAATCCCGAACATTGACAGAACTGCAACTTCATTATCTGATTCTATTTCTATTCCCACTACTGGCCTCCAATGAAATGTTCACCAAAAAAAACAATCTCACTGAAGTTTAAATTACTGCTTGAGCTCTTTACCGTACTGTTGCAGATAATCTATTTTATGTAAGTCTACTAACATCGTACAGATGTGCAGATCTTTTTGCAGGATGAACAGTCTTAGAATGTGTTCCACCAGTAAAACATTGACATTCTAAGGAATAATAAAAAACCAGATATGTAAAAACCTCCTGAAAAATCACTTCTGAGCCCTTGGCAGACTATTCTGAAGCTATCACAAAGTTCTGCTTATATGTGAATAGTCCTTCTGATGCCAATGAAGATTACAAGACTAATTGTTTACTCTGCAGTTGATATCCTAGTTTATCATAGAAGTGCATATTTGAGTTTTGCTTATAGTATTAACCTTGTGAAGGAAAAAAAAAAAAAGGAATATGACCTTGCATAGAAATTCCCAGAAGAGATTATATCTTAAGCAAGCTTAGTTTATAATTTCATAGATATAATAAAACTAGTAAGTATCTATCATAACAGCAAACTAAAGCTTTCTTTCTGAGAACATAAATAGAACTGCACTCCGGAGACCATGTAGCATAACAAACAGCAATTCTTCATCTTTATTGTCCATTTCAGAGCACAATGATTGAGTAAAAAAAGTATAATCATCATGAGCTCCCATTTGGAGAATAACAGAAGCAATACAGCACTCTTGCTTCCCCATCTGTCTAATCTTACAGGATTTTCTCTGCATTGCAATCAAAAAGAAATTGAACATTGTTCATTAAAAAAAAAATGGGCCATTGGATCACTGTGAACATCCTATCCAAGGCTGTGGTACGGAACCTGCTTAGTTGGCAGAGTTGTAGGATTCTTCCTCAGGCTGTTAATTGCTCCAAAGCTGCTACCTATGCCACAGCTTACATGGGAGTCTGTGCAGTACTGTGCTTAGTTTGCTAGGGCACAGAGATTCACCTCTGTCAAGAAATTGCCCTATTTTGAAAGTCAAGAATCAGTTGACAGCACAGTTTTGTGGCAAAGGGGTTCCCAAGCTTAGACTGCTTAGAAAGTCCTGTTCGCTGCTCCAGGGGCAGAAGCAGCTGTCTCACTGGGCTGTGGACAGGCCTTTCCCAGCTTTCTACTGGCTCTCTCCCCATACCATATAACCAAAACTTCATCCAAATGTCTCCATATCCTCTCATCCTCTGCTACCCCTCTATAATCTTGTGTCTCCTTCTAGATCTCTTGTCCCCGTATAACACGCCTGGAATTTTGGTCCATCCATACAGCACTTGTCATCAACTGCCATGCAGCTTCATGCTTGATGGCACCATTCCTTCTCCGTGATGAAAATCAAAGGTCCCAATGGTAGACTGGTGATCAGCAAAGCAGAGTGGAGGCTTGGGAATGCTGCTGGTAAATTCTGGAAACCTTACTCCTATTTCGTTATCAAAAGGACCAAATATGCTCAGTGGCAATCTAAACCAATGTGAGAAAACTGTTATCCCACATACCTATCAGTCTTTTTTTCAGGTAGGCAGAATGCCAACAAGCAGCACTTCGATTATTTCCTGGCATTTCAGAATTTGTTTCTCTAAAACCTGTCCTAACAAACACGTGCATCATAACTGACATGTTAAGCATGGCGTGCAAAGATGATGTAAATCTGCCCAAGTTATATGGGAACTAGAAAGAAATAATCAATATAAATATGCAAACTGCAGATACCACATCACATTTATGCTTTTCACAATTCCAGCTTAGTTGTACAGTTGAAATAAATTGTTAGGAGATAAAAATGTAGCTTTACCACAAGAGGCATTTTGGTATCCAAATTACACACTGTGTATAATAAAGAATATCACTTGATTATTCTGAGGCTGAAAACATATTCAGATGGTGTCACACTTAACTAATGCTCCCACCGATGTTGTACTTTGCAGAAATTGTTACTACTGAAATCTCATCTATTTAGGAAGTTGTTCCAGTGAAAAAGCACACTGGAGACTGGCATGTTGTTTTCACTTGGATAACTATTGCTGAAAGATGGACTGAGTTGCTGACGATGATGCTTTTATAAAGACAGATAACCAGACTTCCTCTGATGATGCCATTAAAAGATTATACAGATCATAATCTTTATGAATGCTATTAGAAAGAAGGTAATCTCTTTTCCTAAACTAGTTGAAGTGAAAAAAGGTCTTATAAAGCCTTCATAACCTCCCATGATATCTGATAGATTTTACTGAATCCCCTTCTTCTCAGGAAATATGATGGAGGTTTAACGTATTTGTTTTAGGATTCCAAATCTACTCTGCTCTCCAAACCTGCAAAGTAGAAGGGGAAGATCATTCTTTGGACTCTCAAACTGATTAACACTTAATGCTTTTCCATAGGCTTCCTGTGCTTTCCTTTGCAACAGCTGATACTGATAACTGTTGCAAGGCTATGTTCAGCATGGATATACTCGGGAAGGCAAGCCGCCTAAGAGCCGTAATTGCCCCTTCTCCTCATCTCCGTTATCACTGCTCAAGCCATGTGACACATGAGCAGCCGAGCAGCTGCAGAGTCCTTCCATCCAAATCACAGTTGCAATTCAATATTGGCACTGAAACCAACATTGTTTCTATAGCAAAGGCTTAGCTTTAAAATGTTAAAAGGCTTCCGACCACATGCAAAAAGAAAGGCTTGATTTTGAAATTCATATTAGGTCTTAGTCTATTCATGTTCAGAAAAAATGGAATACGTAGGTTTGAAATCTCTTTGCAATAACTGTAAGCCAGCTACAATAGCAGACTTAGTGATTCAGACTACACTAAGCTCCATGATTAACCTCACCCCCCAGCATTACTTCAGGCTTGCATCAGTGACAGACACCAGAATGCAACCCACTCCATTTCTGCACGTACATTCCACACAGATTATAGCAGATTGGATACATTGGCTTTATTTTTTTTTTTTTTTTTTTTTCAAGAAACAACCTGGATGGAAAAACCCACATGTTTGGGACAAACTGCCCTTGCAAATTTCCTAATTGTAAACATTGTGGGGCCAAAAGTGAGACCGTGCTGCGGCGTCTCTGCCGGAGGGGGAGACCAGCCACAGTTGTTCCCGTGTCGAAGGGGAAACTGCGCTTCAAACGCTCCTGGTACAGTGACCATGGTGATAGGACTGCGTCTGCCGTGTAATCGATGACTCAGTCTGATAGCACTGTACAGACATGAACCGGTGTCCGTGTTTGCGCGATGAGGGATGCAACGGCTCGTAAGGAAGCAGTCGGGGAGATGGGCTGTAGGGCTTCAGATGAGGGCTGCTCTTTGGGACGAGCAGGCTGGCGGAAGAATTAGAGAAAAATAAAATATACAGGAAATAGCATAATTCTGATCATTTTATATCAGAGGAGAAGGGTTTTTTTCTTGGAAGAAGCCTTGGATGCTCCTATAGAATACTGCAGAAAGGTTAATGCAATTAGTTTTGAATATGAACCTGGGGTGGTAGGTATTAATAGGAAGGAACTATTTTTTCATTGTTATACTTTGGCAGGGAGACTTAATCATTAATTCGGCTCCAGAAAATGGATGGGCCCTAAACAAATGTATATTATTACCAACACAGCAGCCAATTAAAAAAAAATGTCGCAGATTGAACAGTACTAGAATAAGTGAAATTAATGATAGGAATATTTAATAGATAGGGTAACATGCCTTCAAGCAATATTTTACAGACAAATAAAAATTCTGCATGGAAAGAGTTGGAATTGCTAGATAATGCTTAACAAATTACTATCTGAAAAAGCCGGAGCTATACCCCAACCCCTTTAAGCTTCCATTGTGTGCTTCAGTGGCACAAGGATATAAAGCTCCTTAAGGAATCAGCAACATATACCTTAAGAAGTGCCTCTGATTTCAGGAAATTCCTACTTAATACCGAGTTGCAAGAATAAATAAATTTATGCAGAACAAAGTATGTACCAGCTGTTATTTTGGAATACCCGGTCTTAATGATAAATCATAAATTAAGAACGAATGAAAAACCAATTTCTTACTAGGTAAGTCAAGCTAGTGTTTAAAATTCAAAATAAACCCCATAAATATCTGTAAGTAGTGCAGCACAAAGAGTACTATTCAATGGCATCAGCAGAATGTTTCATTGTCTTTGAATGATCACTCAGTAATCTTGGAGGAAGATGCCTTAGAGATGCATCATTAGGGCACTGGCAGCTAAAGACTGTTTTCCCAGAAAACCACTCAGAATTCCTCCAACACACTTAGAAAGAAAAAACAAAGCTGAATCATAGAGAAAGATTACTTAAGGAGCAAAGTCAAACAGAGCAATTCAAACACCATGGCTACAACCACCCATTCATAACTTAAACTATGGGAATAAAAGCAACTGATCAAATCACATAACAAATGATAAGCGGCCCAACAGATCTATCACGTCTTTGTAACACCACTGGAATCTGAAAACAATGACTAGAACTGGAGAAGTCCACAGGTAGCTACCCTTGAAAAACAGCCCTTGCTTTTTGCCAGGGATCCTGCAGTTCAGTAAGGAACCAAAGGAAGAAGAGGACACTCCTCAACCACCCCAAAACCCAGCCAGGAATTAAATACTGAATATTCATTATCAAACAAATTATCAAATTTAAATTATCTCTATATTGAGAGTGGCACACAAACCAACAAAGAACATTTTTGGTAAAGGTATTCCAACAACACAGGAAAAATTCGGAGTTTCTATATTCTCTAAGATCATTTACTTTTCCAGGAATCTGTCCAA